GCAGCACGGCATCACGCTGCATCCTAGGACGGTGCGTAATGCGTTGAATGGTAGCGGACTTGTCGCCATCCAGCAGCCCAAGAAGCCGCGACTCTCTCGAAAAAACATACGCGATAGGCTAGAATGGGCCCGTGCCCACGCCGACTGGACGGTTGACGATTGGAAGCGGGTGATCTGGTCGGGTGAGACCAAGATCAATCGGTTTGCTTCCGACGTATGCTCCTATGCCTGGTTTCGCGAAGGTGCTGCCCTCCGAAGCCACCAAATCAAGCAAACCGTCAAACACGGGGGCAGCTGCTTGATGGTTTGGGGGTGCATGTCGTATGATGGCGAGTGTTTCATGTGCAAAATAGATGGTAGGATGGACGGACCGCTCTATCTGAGTATACTGCAGGACGAGCTCAATAGTACGATTGAGTTTAACTATCTTCCAGCACGACAACGATCCGAAGCAGAAGTCGCGTATCGTGCAGGAGTGGCTTAGTGAGCGAGAGTTTGGGGTGCTAGAGTGGCCGTCTTCCTCACCCGACCTCAACCCAATGGAGCATTTCTAGGCTCAAGAAAGTGAGCTCAGGGAAGTGAGCTCACCTCTCATCTCAAGAGGCAGCTGGCCAAGCACGAGAAGCCTCCCACTGGTATACTGGACCTTTGGGAGCGTGTGCAGGAGGAATGGGAGAAGATCCCGGCGGATGTGTGCACCCACCTGGTGGAAATCATGCCCAGGAGGGTGAGGGCGGTGATTAAGGCAAAAGGGCGGTAGACTAGGTACTAGTTTGGGGTTGATGTAACTTGCTGCTTGCGCCTGGCAATAATTGTCCACATGTACCATGATTGTTACTTTCTGTTATTTGTTGTAAACATCAATATATTAGTGAGATTCAAGGCATGGGCGTAGAGCCTTACCCCAACCTACACACACTAGGCATACCATAAGATTAAGGCTTAATGTCCATGACCCCCTACAATGGCAAAATTCCTCTAAGTCACAAACATGTGGACAATACTTTCCGCCACTGTATAGGGTTGTGCCTTAGGGAGTACAACCCATTAGGTTATATTCCCTTGTATGCCTTGTTCTAGTCATTCTTTCACTTGAGCATGGTATCATGAGTAGGTAGGTCCCCCCCCCCCCCCCTCTAGCGCTTCCGCCCTAGGTCGTAGCCGCCTCGTCGCCCCCCAGCCCGTCACCTAGCGGCCCCGCGGCCCCGTCACCTAGCGGCCCCGCAGCCCCGTCGCCTAGCGGCCCCGCGACTCCCCCTTAACCCTACACCTGGACCGCGTCGCAAGCGCTACTTTCTGGTGCTCGTTGACGAATTCACGCGCTACACCATGGTGTTTCCCCTGGAGCGGAAGGCCAATGTGCCTGACGTTCTTATCCCGTGGCTCGTCGCTGCGCGCCTCCACCGCGGTCTCCCTGTGCTGTGTCTCCACTCCGACCGTGGTGGCAAGTTCGCCTCTGGTCGGCTATGTAAGTTCTGGCGTGCGGAGGGTATCACCCAGACGTACACCCTACCGGACTCCCCGCAGCAGAATGGGGTCGCTGAGCGACGCATCGGTTTGGTCATGGAGGTGGCTCACACCTCCATGATCCATGCCGGTGCACCCCATTTTCTGTGGTCGTTCGCTGTTCGCTACGCCGCTCACCAGCTTAACCTCTGGCCTCGCTCTCAGCGGCCGCAGGTTTCGCCGACCCTTCTTTGGATCAGGTTCCCTGGTGACGCGTCTGCGTTCCACGTCTGGGGCTGCCTCGCTTACGTTCGTGCCTCCGGCACGGACAAGCTCACTGCCCGCACCGTCCCCTGTGTCTTCCTCGGTTTCCCCCTTGACTCTTCTGACTGGCACTTCTATCAGCCGTCGTCTCACCGCTTCCTTCACTCCCGTGACATCACTTTCGACGAGTCTGTCTCCTTTTTCCACCGCTTTCCTCATGGAGGTCTCCCAGTTTCCCCCCCCCCTGTTTCTAGTTCCCACTCCCCAAGTCGCGTCTACTCCCCTCCCTCCCCGTCCTGCTCCGTCTGGTGCATCTCACGTCACTCCCCTCCCGTCGGTTGTGCCGGTCGAGGAGTCGGCTGACTCCGGTGGCCCCGCGGCGCAGTTTGCGCCGCCTGTCCCTCCCCTGGTATCTCCTCCTCCCTCGTCGCAGTCGCCGCCGTAGTCGCAGCCGTCACCGCCGCCGCAGCCGCAGTCGTCGTCACAGGCGCAGCCGTTTGTGGACTCTGGGGGTGCTGGAGTTGGAGAGGGTGCTAGTCCCGGGGCTCCTCTCGTGGCTTGTCCCGGCGGGCTCGAGGGTGGCACTGGCTCTGGAGACATTTCTCGTTCTGAGGGTGTTGGCGCGGAGTGTACCGGAGGTAGCAGTGGTGCAGCTGGTGGTCCAGGTGTCGGCTTTCAGCAGCAGCAGAAGCAGTAGCCGCCGGTGTCCGCCCTTCGCCTGCTCGGCCTTCCCTCCCCTGACCGCTCGCCTGTGCCTCCCTTGCCGTCTCCCCCTTTTCCTGTTCACGGTCCTGTGTTTCCTCCGCAGGACTTATCCCCGGCTCGTTTCCCCTCTCGTTCCCCTCCTGTTACTCCTCCTCTGTCTCCTGACCCGACGCCTCTATCTCACGTCTGGTCTCGCCGTCCCTCTCGTGTTCGTCCTGTCTCTCTTGTTCAGCGTTCTCACCTTATGTTGCTTCGTTCCCACGCATCTTGTCCTTCCCGTTTGTCTTCGCCTCCTCTGTCGTCGCTCACTGTCGCGCCTCCCCCTCTGTCTGACTACCTTCGTGTTGCTCGTCCTCTTGTTCCTCGGGTCCTTGCCTCCCTCGTTACCGATCCGTCTGTTCCTGTCTCCAATCTTGACGCTCTTGTCGCTGCTGTCGCTGACTTTGCCTCTACTCGCCACCTTGACTTCGCTACCGCTCTGGTCTCTGACCCTGTCTGTCCTCCGTCCGTCGGGGGTGCTCCTGCCCTCGGCAGGGACGTCTTGGAGGACCGGCAGTACGAGCGTACTTTCCTGTCAGAGGCTCCTCCCCATCTCTGTTCCATGCTGCTAGTCCCAAAGCGTGACCCCGACGCCTTTGACATCCTGACCCCTCGCACCTACGCTGAGGCGACCTCGGGACCCTGGGCCTCTCAGCGGACAGCTGCCATGGAGCAGGAGATGGCATCTTGGAGGGCTAACGGAACCTACGTCGACGTAGTTCCCCCACCTGGGGAGAGCGTAGTCGATGGCCGATGGCTCTTCAAGGTGAAGCGCCCCCCTGGAGAGCCGCCTGTGCTCAAGGCGCGCTACGTGGCTAGAGGCTTCAGTCAGCGAGAGGGGGTGGACTTCTTTTAGACCTTCGCCCTGACCCCGAAGATGACTACTCTTCGTGCGCTGCTCTACGTAGCAGCACAGCGTGACTACGAGCTTCACTCCCTCGACTTCTCCACTGCTTTCCTTCAGGGCAGTCTATACGAGCAGGTCTACCTGCGCCGCCCTCAGGGCTTCACCGGTACTTTCCCTCCTGGGACCCAGTGGCTCCCCCGACGCCCCGTCTACAGCTTGCGACAGGCGCCCCGTGAGTGGCACGACACGCTGCGTGCCACGCTAGCTGACCTGCAGTTCTTTCCGTCCTCTGGGACCCTTTGCTCTTCGTTCGTGCTTGCCAGACTCCGTTCTACGTAGACGACCTGGTCTTTGCTATAGCAGACAGATGCGCGCTGGCCTTCGTGAAGGCTGAGCTGCTGAGGCGACACACCTGCACTGACCTGGGAGAGCTGCACCGCTACCTTGGCCTGCCTTTCTCCAGGGATAGAGTAGCACGCGCCATCATTCTTACACAGTTACACTTGGTGCGCCAGGTCCTTCAGAGGTTCGGTCTTCAGTTCTCCTCCGCACAGCCCACACCTCTGCCGGTAGACCACAGGCTCTCAGCTCCAGTTCCCGAGGAGTCAGTAGAGCCCAGTGGTCCTTACGCAGAGCTGGTGGGTTGCCTCATGTACCTGATGTCTTGCAAGCGCCCAGATCTCGCATACCCTCTCAGCATCCTGGCCCGCTTTGTGGCCTCAGGCAGAGACAGACCACAGCAATGGTCGGCCGCTAAGAGGATTTGCGTTATCTTGCAAGTACATCGGGCATGGGGCTAGTGCTGGGAGGACGCAGGCTAGTGGTCCTTACTGGGCATACAGACGCCTCTTGGGCAGACGACGCTGAGACCCTTCGGTCCTCCCAGGGCCACAGTTTCAGCCTTGGTTCTGGTGCCATCTCGTGGAGGTCCACTCGCTCCTCGTCTGTTGCTCAGTCTCGCTGCGAGGGTGAGATCTATGCCGGTGCCATGGCGGCACAGGAGCTCCGCTGGCTGACCTTCTTGCTTGCCGACTTAGGTGAGCAACCTAGCTCTGCCCCGGTTCTGTACGCTGACAACATGGCCATGATCCTCCTATGTCAGGAGCCTCGACTTGAGGGCAGAGCGAAGCACATCCAGCTGAGGTACTTCCTGCTGCACGAGCTTCAGCAGCGTCGCTAGGCCCGCGTAGTACACTTGGCCTTGGGTGCCAACACAGCAGATATCTTTACTAAGGCGCTTCCGCCTAGAGATCATCAGCGGCACTGCTTGCAGGTAGGTCTAGTCCCTGTTGACACTCACTTGCTAGGCCCTTGATTTTGTACTGCTTTCTATTTATACCTTGTAGACTGGCCTTGTGGCGTTTCCTCCAGTGGTTGGACTAGTAGTGCCGCCCAGGTTTGCTCTGTCTTGCTTGTAATCTTGTTGACTGGTATTCGGGCCCCTGCCTCAGAGGTTGGACTAGTAGTGCCACCCTGAGCACTTCCCGTTATCTAGCCTAGGGGGTGTGTCAACTTAAGCATATATTGTTATGTACAAGTTATAAGCTAAATAGGGTATTTTCTTAGTGGGTACAACCCGAACGCTATATCTCCCCAACAAAATGCTCTGCCCGCATTCAGTCTCTTATTGCCAGATTGTCAAATATGTTATGTAAATCTAGCTTCCACGTCATTACCCAACATTCCATATTATATGGATAGATTTTGGGAAAACGCTCTCGGCCACAAATCTTCTTTCCCCAAATCCGCATTTATTAGCCGATCAAGCGTACATGTCATTTGCACCATCCTAACCCAGCGGATCTCAACTCAACATTCTGGTTCAGATCACCGAGAGGAACCCTGACACCCCATGCAGACCCATGAATCCGATGAACTTCCAAAGCGTCTGCCCGACGTCCAATTCTGGCATGTAAGCCACAAAATTCCGTGTCCTATGATTTTGATGGTCGACGATCTAGGAGCAGTCCTCCTTGCAGTCTTCGTACTTCTCGTCGCACTTGCTCTTGTTCTTGGCGTAGCACTGCTTCTTGTAGTACTTGCACCAGTCCTTGCACCCCCACTTGCCGTACTTGCACGCCTTGTAACTCCTATACGCCTTCATTTCGCACGTCTTGGACTTCTTTTCGCAGATCTTCTTGTCGTCGTCGTCCTCTGCGATCTCCTCGCATTTGTCCTCGTTCTTCTCGCACTGCACATACCGCTTCTTGTACTTCTCGATGCACGACGGCTCGTCATCGTCGTCGCTCAGAATTCGCCTGTCACTCGCCAGAGCAGGGAGACGATCTGCTCGCACAGACAGATACGGAATACGGAGCGTTAGTTATGTCGTTATCCGTCAAACGGACTCATCGGATGAGGCAATCGCAACTTTGCGGCGGAGCAGATACTAGATTGCGGGGTAGATACTCGCAGATTTGAACCGTCACGTTGTCAATTCAATGAAAACGGGGGGTAGAAAGTAGAAGAAGCACCGCATTCTTCATCGCGATTTTCGGGGCTTACCGGTGGTGGCCTCAGCAGTAGCTGGCGCGGCGCTAGTGGCGAGAAGCAGCGCGGACAGCAGAACCAACCCGGAGAAAATCGCGAAAGTCCTCATGCTGGCAGTGACGGCGGAAACGGTACACTTGGAGCTGTAACAAGAGAGGCTGATCAAATGGTTGGACCCCAAAAGGGAGAGGAGAGAATCAGAGAGTTGATGCTTTTTCAGAATGGAAATTGGAGGTAATTTATACCCGCAAGCGTGACAGGTCTCATCCACCACTCTGGCTACGGGCGATGGTCTGGATGGACTCTGGATTCGAGAAGCCAGGAGGGAGGCAGACACAGGAGGGGGGATTCTGGTGGGGGCAAATTAGCTAGGGTGGAGGTGAGCGGCTCGCTGGGGGTTCAGATTTGGAAGCGCGCATTTGGCCTGAAAGCCGCCCAGCTTGCGTTATTGGCTGAGGATGCCGAGCTGCTAGGCTGGGTTGTCGCTTCGGCCACAAATAGGCAAACCACGAATCCCTGGATTTTATGAGCTAGTTGGCCCTGATGGACTTCGGGCTGGATTTAGAAGCTCTCGACTGTTATCGGTCTGGGAAGTAAATATCCAACGCCTGAAGTAGATGTTTTCCTCAACAGCCTGCTGTGGCACTTCTAGCCGGTGAACTCCCCACTGAAAATTGGGTTCATACTGTTTTGTTTCGGTTCTGGAGCACCATCACGAACCGGTTTGATCTCCATACCCTTTGGAGCATGTTTCCTCATAATTGTGATTGAATACACGACACAGATTCTAGGGTTTCACCCGATTGTAACTGACCAAGGACCTAGAGGCGGCGCTTTAGCCCCCACTTTCTTCCAGGTACACCGCGACTTTCGACGTGGGTGCGGAATCTTGCAGACGAACCTGACTGCTTCGGTAGAAAGCCGGCGGCGGCTCGCACTTGACTGAGGTGGGCTGCTTGCTTGGGAAGCGAACCTGGGCCAAGCTGGAAAACTGGTCATGCTTGGGGGAGGCTTTTTGTTGACGGCGCAAGACTGGCTTCTCCACTTGTGGTGCGATAAGGTCAGCTCAACTCCTGTCGTTCGCCTGTACATCTAGGCGCTTCTAAACTCATCCTTATATATAGGAAAGAATGTAAGGTGCTCCTTTCACGGGACACAATCTACAACCTGATTGGTAGGTGTAGATGGAGTATCACCCACTCCACCACGTCCTTTTTAGCTGATTCGTTTCTCCAAAGTTTCAGCATCTTATAGGGAGACAGAATGGTTCAACAAAATGAATCCATTAATTATAGGGAGACTTGCAGCAAAATTGACATGATTTATTCCCACAAAATACCACATTCCCCCAATTTGGTGCTCCCTCCCACCTCGCTCTCCCCAATGGAACTTATTACCCAAACCATCTTGTCTCGACACGAAGCCTTCAGGGAGACCCCGAACAGAATTAGCACTACCGGTATTTATTTCCAACACAAAGTCTCATTCTAACACCACGTAGATGAATTAGGAGCTCTCTCCCACCCCCTTTCCCCCTTACCAACAAGCTGATTGGTACCAGCCCATCCTAGATTGGTACCAGCCCATCCTAGACTCGAGTCATGGGAAATCTCGAAACTCGAAACCTGGCCAAACTCGAAAGGTTCAGCCCAATGTCTCGTTGCGAATTACCTGATGATCTGGCGCGTGAATTACCGCGACAGTACCACACTGACGCGCGCCTTCTAGGAGCAGTCGTTATCATGGCAGTTCTTGTACTTACGATCGCAGTTGTCTTCGTCGTCGCTCTTGCACTGCTTCTTGATGTACTTGCACCAATCATTGCAGTCCCAGCTCGAGTCCGACTTAGAAGACGACGAGTCGCCGTACACGCACGTCTTATACTTCTGGTACGCCTTCGCCGCGCACGATTTGCGCCGCGTGCACCCGTCTCTCTCGCTGTCGCAGCACTTGTGATCCCTGTTGCATTTGTACTGGCTCGTCTTGAACTTCTTCAGGCACGACGAGTCGGAGTTGGAACTGCTGCTGCTGCGGCGATCGTCGTCGCCGTTGTGGCTCAGGATCCGCCTGCTCTTCTCCAAAGCGGAGGCACGCTCTGCGACCCAACGTTACAAAAGGGCACAATGGAAAATTCCTTAACTTGATTCGAGAAACGCGTTGGGGGCGCCGCGTTCAATTTCGGAAATGCTGGAGCCTTAGGAGCTTTACAACTTTTCATGAGATATTCCGAGCTTACCAGGGACGGCGTTAGCAGCGAGAAGCAGAGCGGAGAGAAGAACCAGCGCGACAAGGAGAGCGGAAGTCCTCATGGCGGCGGCGGGAGCTCCTCGCGGAATGTAGACTATTAATACGGCTATGTACTGCTGAACCGAGCAGTTGCTGCTGCTGTATTTGGGATAATCGGGGCTGGAATATATATTCGCAAATGCTGCTGTTGGGTGGGAGGGCTGTGAAATGTCGAGTCGAGTCGACTGGGGGCGCGAGAGGGGTGAAGTGCGTTGCTCGCTCAGGCGGTTTGGGGGCCAAACCCGCAAACCAGCTTTGGTAGGCGGCTGTCAAGCATTGGCTCGGTCAGCCGTGATAGGTTTGGCTCGGAGGGGCAGCCAGGCTGCGCCAACCGTTCAGGCAGGAGCTTGTTGGGCCCGAGTTTAGCTTCCGGGCCAATCAGACATGGTCTCCGAACCACCCAAAGCCAGGTCTGGGTGTGGCCTGAGCTATTCGTGATCTTGAAGGGGGTCCGGCGCGGGGGTTGCTGGCCTCGCGCTTGAGGCAAGCCGCAGCCCAAAAGGACCATTTCAGGTGGGTTTGATGGGTTTGTACATGAGATGGGACAAATGGCACCTGACCTGGTGAGTGATCAGGGCAATTCTCAAACCACCACACACAGCCTTGGCGTGGCCCAGGTCCCCACATTCACCCTGATGCGTTTCCGAGGCTCGAACTGGCTTGGAGAATCTAGAAGACGAACCTGGCTCCTGTGGTTGGGAAGCGGGTGCAGCAGCCGCTCTCTTGGTCGGCTTGGAAGGCGAAACGGGTAACGGCTTGTAGTTGATTGGTCGAGGTGCGGAGGGGCTTGGGTTCTTGACGGCACTTGACCAGCATTTCGTGGTCAGGGTGCACACACATTTGAGCAGGCCAGCTCTAGCCGCAGGTTCCATTTCATGTCGTACGATTTGTGTACCGGCTGGTGTACGTCACTGGAACAAATACGGCATAGCGATTTAGCTTCAAAAGGACCAAAAACATTGCAAGGATAACAGGTGTGTCCTGTAGCGAATGAACAAGCAGAGTAGCGCGGAAATGAATAACGAGATTGTTCACTCAATGAATGACGATACAAGGAATGGCAAGCCAAGATATAGGAACACCAGAGCTAGTCTAACCATGCGATGGAAAGGTTCGGGAAGGAGATCGAAGGGTCTCGAAGTGACGAAACGAGGCCTGGAGAACTCCCGAAGGTCGAACCGAAAAGTTTGGAGAAGCCGAGGCGATTCTGTCAGAAGGTCTGGAACACTCCCGAGGCTTCGGGTGTGTTCGAGCGTACGCGATAGCAGTACCGCTCGGTAAGGAATGGAAAATTCCTTACACCCCCCCCCCCCCCCCCCTTAGCGCAGGTGATCTATATCAGCCACGTGCTTGCGGTCCAACTAATTCGCAAGTATCGAAGGTGACTGTAGCTAGTCCAAGAGCACCCACGTGTCGTCCTCATTGGTGCGATTGGTCCATCGGATCAGAAAGTCAACGTGTCGTCCTTGACCGTCGAGACGAATCCGATCGCTCAAAATATTTGAAGGCTCGATGGTCGTCTTGGCACGTGGCCGTACATCGGGAATTAATCGATGTCGAGCGATGTCCGACGTGTCAGGAACGAAGGGTCGCAACAGACTCACGTGGAATTTGTTGTGAATTCGCCAGTCATCAGGTAGGCGCAATTGGGCGGTCACCGGCGTCACCATCTTCACGATCTTGAATGGGCCACAGAAACGTGGTCGTAATTTCGTCGGTAGTGGTAGTCGTAAATTCTTGGTGTCCAAAAGGACTAGTTGCCCTGTCGTCATCGTAATATCCCGTCGATGTAAATCCGCATACCGTCGGGCAGTTGCGTTCGCCTTGCGAATCAGTTCGACAGCTTTGTCGCGGGCAGTCTGTAAGTCTTCGACGAACTGCTGCTATCGTGGTACTTGACTCTCAACGTTGGTGGAGATCGGCACTGTAGGGTCCATCCCGTAATTGAGATAAAACGGGGAGTGATTAGTCGTAGCCGAGGGCGTGTTGTTGTAGGAAAATTCCAGCATGGGCAGCACGTCCTCCCATTTTTTTCGGTCGGGGCAGTTTGTCCGAATCAGCTGCTCCATCGTTTGATTCGTCCTTTCCGTCTGGCCATCCGTTTGGGGATGATACGCGGATGAGAACTGTAGACGCGTGCCGTACCGAGCCCACGTGTCCTGCCAGAATCTTGACGTGAACTTCGGATCTCGATCGCTAATGATTGCTGCTGGTATCTCGTGTAGGCGAACGACGGTCGAGATGAACAGGCGCGCTGTTTCTTCGGCTGTGATGGTTGTACGACATGGTGCGAAATGCGCCATTTTCGTCAATCGGTCGACGATAACCAACACAGCGTCGTTTCCGCTGGATCCGGCTGGTAGTCCCGTAACAAAATCCATCGTTACATGTTGCCATGGGCGTTTAGGTGGCTCGAGGGGCTGCAACAGTCCTGTAGGTCGCTGGTGTGATGGCTTCATTCGCTGGCAGATCGGACACGCGGCCACGTAACGCTGCACGTCCGTCACCATATCTGGCCAGTAATAAAACCGCTGCAACGCCTTCAAGGTTTTATCAACCCCGAAATGTCCCGATAAATTCGAATCGTGGACTTCTTGAATTAGTAATTCGCGAAGTAGACGATAACTTGGGACCCAAATTCAATCAGTTCCGCTTCGTAAGTAATAGACGCCTTTCCGTGTAGTGATTGGGAGATGGCCGTCATTTACGAAGAAGGGGTCAGTCGAATACCCGTTGGTAAATAGTCCACTCAGTAGCGGGTTGCTCTGGGCAACTAGTACTGCTGCGAGTTGGGCAGATGGTCTGGAAAGGGCTTCCGCAATATTGTTGGCGCCCTTTTTATACGTGATCTTGTACGTGAAGTTCGACTCCAGATAGTCCAGCCAGCGTATCTGCCGCGGGTTGAGATTCGGCTGCGCCCTCAGGTACTGTAGTGATTTGTGATCGGTTCGCACCGTTACGTCTGCTCCAGTCAGGTAGCACCTCCAGATTTTGATCGCGTGGACGATCGCCAACATCTCCTTGTCGTGTACCGGGTAGTTGCGCTCAGCAGATTGCATTTTCCGAGACTCGTACGCGATTGGTTGAAGACCATTGCTGAAATCTTGCATGAGCACGGCTCCGATGGCAATTTCACTTGCGTCGGTGATGACTTCGAAGGACCGTTCCGGGTCAGCGATGCGAAGTACCGGTGGCGACATTAGAAGGTTTTTTAATGCCTCGAACGCAACTTGCTGCCTCTCCCCCCACTCGTAAAAATTTCCCTTCTGCAGTAGGTCGGTTAGAGGTCCAGTTAACCCCGCCATATTGGGTATAAACCGTCGCACGTAGTTCACAAAACCCAAAAATGATTGCAGCTGCTGGAGATTCGTTGGCGGTTGCCATTTCTGAATAGCCCTGAGTTTTTTCGGGTCTATTCGAATTCCTTCCGTAGAGATCACGTGCCCCAGGAACTCCAGTTCTTGTTTTAAAAACTCGCACTTGGAGCCCTTGGTGATGAGTCGATGCTGCTGCAGCCGTTGAAAAACAGCTTCCAAATCCTTTAAATGTTGCTCCCGGGTCTTGCTGTAGATCAGGATGTCGTCCAGGTAAATTATTACGCATTTGTCGAGTAGATCGCGGAACACCCCATTCATCGTGAGTTGGAACGTCGAGGGGGGGTTCGTTAATCCGAACGGCATCACCGTGTACTCGTAACTCCCGTAGCGAGTACGAAACGCGGTCTTGTGGCAGTCGTCAGCGAACACCCGAATTTGATGGTAACCGCCACGAAGGTCGATCTTCGAAAAGTAGCGAGCTCCGCTAAGGTTGTCGATCAGTTCGTCCGTTCGTGGGATTGGGTAGCGCGATTTTATCGTTACCCGATTAAGGGCACGATAATCCGTACACATGCGAAGGCCGCCGTCCTTTTTTGGCGTGAACAGGATTGGTGCTGCGAACGGTGAAGTGCTCGGCCGAATGAACCCTTTTGCCAACAGGTAGTCCAACTGGTTCCGTAGTTCCTGTAGCTCCGGTTGAGTCAGGCGCCATTGTGTGCGTAAAGTAGGTTGCGCGCCGGGTTCCAGCTCGATCTTGTGGTCCTGGGGTCGTTCGGGTGGCAATCCACTTGGCAAGTCGTCCGGGAAAATCTCAGGATATTCCCGAATGATTTTCGCCAAGTCGTCCGAGACCGAATCGCAGAGTTTGTTGATGTCGGTCGCCTCATTCTGCTCCGTCGATTCGGTTAGATGGACGGCGTATAAATCCGCTCCATTCTTGACTGCTCGATTGAGGCACACCGCGTTGACTCGTGTCGATGTTGTCTCTGCTTCCGGCCACGTGGGTAATTTTCGCCAACCTTTGTCGCACTTCACTGTGCACTCGCCTGTTGTCCAATCGATCTGGGGGTTGAATCTTCGCAGCCAATCGCGTCCCAATAGCACGTCGTAGCCGTCGAGCGTTGTCGCCAGCATCGGCGCGCTGAACCCAAAATCGTCGTCACATTTCATTCGAACGACAGGTACTTTGTCGCGTATTGCCAGCGGGGTGCCGTCCACCAATCGCGCGTCGATTTCGGGTAGACACCTCTCCAGCGTCAGGTGTAGTCGTCGTGCTGTCTCTCGATTTAACAGGCTGTGACTCGCACCTCCGTCGATGAATATTTTTTTTTTTCTCCCATGAAGTCGTCCTTCCGCCAGTACAGGGTGGTCCACTGGGTCATCCTCCTTTTTCAGCCGGGAGCGGTTGATAGCATGTATCGGAACCACTACTCGGTGGGGATGCTGTTTTTCGGGCGATGAGGCAGGGTCAGTAGGGGGCCCGACCGCTACTGACGCTTGGCTTTTCCCGACCTGTCCTCGTCGTTCTTCTTTATCTGCTTCTTTCGGGGGCAATCGTGAGATTGGTGACCCGGCTGGTGGCAGTTGAAACATTGTCCCTTGCGAAAATCGTCCATGTGCTCCTTCGCCACTACGCCGTGAATCGTGGGCCGGGGATTCTGGCCACGAAAACGATTTCCCTCCCGGGAACCCGCTCTCACATACGTCCGATGCGCGTCGAAGTTGTCTGCGATCCGAACGGCTTCGTGAAACGTCGCCGGCAGTCGCAGTCGGACCTCGTATTTAATGTCCTGCTTCAAACCCGAAATGAATCGAGCTTTCTTGTCGGAGTCATGCATGTCGGTGATTTGATCGCATAGCGCCATGAAGACTGACGCGTAATCCTGGACAGAACTCCACTAGCGCCAGTTGTCCAGCTTCGTGCGTGCGTTGTCCGAGGCGGATATTGGCTCGAAACGTTCACACAGAGCTGTACCCCACGCCTTCCACCTGCGAATCTTGGTCGAGCCAAAAATCGCGGTTGACCCTTGGGCAGCAGACCCAAAGTTTCCGAAAAACCCCTGTGTGTCGCCTGCCGAAAACTCCCCCTCTTGTAGAGTATATCGCCACCAATCTAGCGCAGGTCCCCGCAGTAGTGATACAGCCAGTCGAATTTCTAAATCGTCAGCAGTGATCCCAGCGGCATTAAAATAAAGTTCCGCCGAAAATAACCAGCCCGTAACAGTAGTATTCTTATCGGTGGGATTGAACGGGGGCGGCATTGTCGGTTTGATCGTCGCTGTCGTCACGATCGGCATAAACGCCGGTGCGGCTACAATAGCGGCTGCTTCTGACCGAGCGGCTGCTGCTGTCGCTGCTGCTGCTGCTGCTTCGGCTGCTGCTCGTGCTGCCACGTCAGCTGCTGCGGCGGCTTCACTGTCCTTGCGCTCCTGTGACACCTGACGTGCGATTTCGTCCAAGACGGTTTCGACACGTCCGGTGCTGGCGACCTCCTCTTGGGCAGCAATTTTCTGACGCGAATCCTCTCGCGCCTGGCGTAACTCAGCAACTTCCGCACGAAGTCGCTCGTTGTCCTCCAGCACTGTAGCCATGCGCGTGTTCATGGTGTTGAACTGCTCCCGAAGCTCGTTGAACTGAGCTTGGTCCATTTGGCGAATGCTCCGCCGGGGCAGGGGGAATTCCGTCGTATGCCTGTACTCAGGTAAGCGCAAACGCTATCGTAGTTGGGCGAATTAATCAATCTAATTCGCGAGCAACCGCTTTGCAGCTTACGTGAGGGACTTACCCCCCTCCCCCAAAAAAAATTCAACTCACGAAAACGGGTGAGCGAGGAAAGTGGCTCTGAATACCAGGTGTTATGAATGAATAAGCAGAGTAGCGCGGAAATGAATAACGAGATTGTTCACTCAATGAATGACGATACAAGGAATGGCAAGCCAAGGTATAGGAACACCAGAGCTAGTCTAAGCATGCGATGGGAAGGTTCGGGAAGGAGATCGAAGGGTCTCGAAGTGACGAAACGAGGCCTGGAGAACTCCCGAAGGTCGAACCGAAAGGTCTGGAGAAGCCGAGGCGGTTCTGTCAGAAGGTCTGGAACAGTCCCGAGGCTTCGGGTGTGTTCGAGCGTACGCGATAGCAGTACCGCTTGGTAAGGAATGGAAAATTCCTTACATGTCCCATCCCATCCCATGCACTCATAATTTTTGCTGTTGGGTGCATCCTACATCATTTGGTAACAAATTGTGTGTGTGTCACGTGTATAATGCCATAGCTGATCAACCAGTACATTTCTGCTCTAACGCAATTGAGCTTTATAAACAATGGCACTGCTTACCTTTGTTAATCTGCTCATGATACGGTCTTTTGTTAGGGCAAGGCTACAATTTCTTCCTGATGACATGGAGGGTAATTGACTAAGGGCATATCCTTCAACAGAGGGCATTTCAAGTGAAACTCCATGACATTCCAGCACCAAACCTACACGCTTTCCATAGGTGTGCCAGATTTGTTATCAAAACAATTATTTCCCATCAAACTTACACATCAAATGCATCACCTTGGCCCAGCCTCACCTGAAACGCTACGCACCCCCTGCTAGAAGCTCCCTCGCCCCGTTACCCAACCCCTGGATTTGAAGCACCCAACAATCAAAGCAACGTCAACCCTCTGGCGCACAACCACCGGTCGAATTCCAACATCACGACTCCAAGTCACAACCTGAATAGTCACCGAATTCGCCAACTTCTTTCGCCAAGATGTCATGAATCACGGCGTGTGGTGTGGGGCCGCACGAAATCATCTAAGAGCAGTCGTTCGTGAGGCAGTTGTTGTACTTCCAGCCGCAGTTGCCCCGGTTCTCGTCCTTGCACTGCATGTAGATCATCATGCACAGGTCCTTGCAGGCCAGCGAAGGCGGCGGCGTCGGCGGCTTCTTGGCGCCGTACTTGCACACCTTGAATCTCTTGTATGCCTTCGCCCTGCACCTGTCAATCTTGTCAGAAGGGTCGTGATCCCTCTTGCATTTCTTGGCGCTTTCCTTAAATTTCTCCAGGCAGGAGTCGTCTCCGAGGGCTCGCCTGCTGTTCTCAATAGCAGAGACACGGTCTGCAGAAACGGGTGACAGAAACGGAAACCCGGGGTACGGAAATCAGCCATGTCAGGTGACAAAATTCCAGAAAATTGTCTTAGTAAGACTCGTCAAAAGAATGACACAAGTTCTTGCCGGAGCTTACCAGCAGCGACAAGCAGAGCGGCGAGCAGAACAAGCGCGCTGAGGAGAACGGAAGTCCTCATGGTGGAGGCTGGGGGGAGACCGCGCAGATAGGGAATTTCCAGCTAATGAAACGATGAAACAATGAGTTGCTAGTAGAGTTCGGGCTCCAAAATATACTCGCGAATCTTGGTGCTGGGAGTTGGAATTCGGAATTCGGGGGAGGGGGGCGAGAGTGTCCAATCAAGTTGAGTGGTGCGAGGGGCGAAGTGAGCCAATCCCTTCGCTAGCAGAATGGGGTGAATTCCGAATTCCAGCTTTGGTTGGCGCTTCGGCGCGACATGCTGGTTCGGTATCTGGGGATAGTTTTGGCTTGGTAGGCCAACCTGCTTGTGCCTTTAGTTGGAGGAGCAGCTTGCTTGGTATGGGTCTCGTTTCTGGACCAACCAGGCTTGGACTCTGGTTTTGAGGAAACCTGGTCTGGGTACGGGCAGGACATTTGATGAGCCGAGAGAGGGTAACCTGGTAAAATTGTAGTTTGTTGAGATTGACGAAATTTAGGGTACTGTCAAGCAATTCGCAGATAGTGGGTGCCCAGCGAACACGCATGCTCAAACATCCAATGTCTGGTCCCGAGTCTCGACTCCCCACCCCAGTTGGCTGCACATACAACATATCCTTCTCACGCTGCCAGCTACAACAGTAGAAAACTCCACACACTAACCCGTTCCACCCAGCCAACAAGGTCAGGAAACAGGAGGAAAACTCTGTCAATACCACAAAGTTGAGGAACGAGTTGAAAAAACTAGCATTTCTGCAACAACACAAATGTATTTGTCCGAAGGGCCCTAGCCACGCCGAGCCCAGGATCCCTATTTTGCTCCGGTGGGGGAACCCCCAAGGCTGGTTTGGTTTGGACTCGAATAGTTTGGATTTGGCTAGCTGCTTTGGCCCGAATGGAAGAAAAGGCGGCGGCGTCATGCGTCGGATGATTGGTTGAGAGCGGATCCGGTAAGGGCTGCTTGATTGGTCGAAGCTCGAAGCCGGCTTGGTTTCGAGACGGTACTTGACTGGCATTGTGTGGTCAGAAGGATGTGCAGTCCAGTCAATAAACGCCACACCAAATCTATGCTTGAATCTGTATACTCAAACTCGAATTCTATGTATAAAATTCAATGGCCAAGTTCTAGTTTACGAGTCCCGCTTTTTACAATTGGTGCATGGCAACAACAATGACAATTGACGTGGCGAGGAGCCATGTTTCAACTGGTGCTGTTTTCCCGGCGTGCTGTGAAGTGCTTCTGTCATGGCTGCAGCAGTTGTACTTCATGTTGCTGGTCCTGCTGTGGCGGTTACTGTTGCTGCTGTTGATCCTGTTCATGACACGGCTGTTGCTGTTGTTGCAGTTCCCTCTGTTGTCGCTGCTGTTGATGCTGTGCTGCTGCTGTCGCTGTTGCTGCTGCGTTCCGTTGTGTCGCACGCTGCTGTTGCTGCAGTTGCTGCGACAACCGTTGCTGGCGCTGCTGCTGCTCCGGCCCATACAGCACCAGTCACACCAGCGGCCAACAACCAATCTTCTCCGGAAATTGAAGGCGCCTCAAAACTTCCTCCAGCCAACCAGCATCGATAACACCAGTGGCCTGGCCACCAATGGTGATGGAGTCGAGTCAAAAGTCAACTCCGGAACAAACAGCACCGGTAACACCAGCGGTAACACCAGTGGCGGTAACCAATCACTGTGGAGTCAACCCAAAGTCTGCGGACCTCTATTCTCCAGAGCTCCTCACCTTCTGAGCTGTCTGGAGCTCAGCCCTGGAAGTACCCAACCTCCGAAGAAGCAGGACCGGTAACAGCAACAGCACGGCCATCAGCACCCCTCCTTTCTCCAAATCTCTTCTTCATTCCTTAACCACACACTCGTTCCTTCCTCCCCCCTCCATTTCCCCACCTCCTAAACACCTCCCCCCACCGAACCTCTGGCTGGTTCGGGAACAGCTTCGCCAGCCGAGGGTCGGGCCGAGCCAGCCAGGAGCAGTACACGCCAGCAGCAGCAAACACCGCAGCCATAGACATAGCGGCAAGCGCACCGAAATGCTTGGGATCGTGAACAATTATGGCTAGGCCCAGCATCAGGAGCTCTGCAAGGCTGGCGAGGGCGATCTCAGTGGTGCCGATTAGATTGGCGGATGCGGGAGGGATGGCGGTCTGGATGATCTGAGAGTCGACGATTTCGAATGTCCAGTGGCCCACGCGGGAAAGCGCCTGAGGGGGAAAAGGGGTGACAAGGGCTTAGATACTTAAGATTGTAGACGCAAGAGCTCTGCCAGGCTGGTGAGGCGATCTCGGTGGTGCCGATTCGGTTCACTGAGGAGGGTGGGATGGCGGTTTGGATAGTTTGAGAATCAACGATCTCGAACGTCCAGAGGCCCATGCGGGAAGGCACCTAGAGGACACAAAGTTTGAGATAGAAACAGGTGCGAGAGGCGAGGAGAGGAGAGGAGGGGTAGGTTGGCGGATGCGGGAGGGATGGTGGTCTGGATGATCCAAGAATCAACGGTCTCGAATGTCCAGGCACCTGATGTCATAAGGGCGAGAAGGAGTAGGTGCGATTTTGAGTCGACTCAAAAGGAGGAGGCACGCTTTTGAGAGAAAAAGGAGTAGGTGTCGTCAGGAGTGCACCTTCGCGGGCAAGGGAAACTCTAGAAATGGCCTGGCCAACACTCAGAACGCAATATAGAATGTGCCGAAGGGAAGGAGTCATGAATACGCAGGAAGCAAAACTCACTCAATAGTAGCGTGTTGCAACCAAGTTCAACAGAGTTTGATCAAGTACACGCTGAGAGTGAGAGCATGCAGGGTAATGAAAAAGAGGAAACTCACGACTAGCAGGAGGAAGAGCAGCAGCAGCCCTTGCTGGAGCACCGGAGGGCAGTGCGAGAGAGAGGAGAAAACTGCAACTGAGAGGGCGAGGAGGAGGGCTTGGAAAACGAGAGCAGCACTGCCAGCCTGGGGTAGGGAGAAATAGGGTGAGTGAAACACGGGAAGAGGAGAGCAGGGTGTGTGTGAGAGAGAGGAGAAGACTGTGAGTGAGCGGGCGAGCAGGAGCGCCTGGCTGGAAGACAAGAGCAGCACTGCCAGCACGGAGTAGAGATAAATGGGGGTGAGTGAAACATGGGAAGACGGGAGAGCACGGTGTGTGTGAGAGAGCAGAGAAGACCGTGAGAGGGCGAGACGGAGCGCTTGGAAAACAAGAGGAACACTGCCAGCCTGGGTTGAGGGAGGGGGGGGGGAGTTTGAAGAGAGAGGGGAGGAGTTTGAACTTTGAAGAGTAGGGGGAGGAGTTTGAAGAGGGGGGAAGAGTTTGAAGAGAGGAGGGGAAAAGGGGAATGAGGGAGGCAAGGGAGCACACACCCGCACACAAACACAGACAACAGGAGAGCAAGGAGGGCTACCACTTGCACCTTACTGCATGCCATTGCAGGGAGATGCACCACATTACAGCTCACTGCACCCCCATCCATCTCACTGCACCGCAATGCATCCCACAGCACTGCATTGCATCTTACTGCACACCTGTAAGACGCCCAGTTCAGCCACGAGTGGTGGTGAAAGAGAGGCGGCAGAAAAACCCATTCCCATCTCACTGAACCCCATTCCCTCCTCACTGCACCGCTCTGCACCGCATTGCAATACCTGCAAAACCCCCAGTTTAGCCACGAGCGGTGGCGAAACGAAGGTGGCGGCAAAGCCCATAGCGGCACAGGCGCCCCTGAATGCCCCAATCACTGACATTTGAACCCCTGTGCATGTTGGGAAGGGAGAAGGGGGAAGGCGGGGTGGCGGAAAGAGGGGGTGTATATTGAAAAGGTGGGCAGGCAGGCCCCCTGGCGAGAGCACGGCATTGAAGAAGAGCAGCACGTACGCCGCACTGGCAGTCTGGCGAACATGCATGGGCCCACACGGCATGGTTAAGCGTGCAACCCTTTTGCTCACTGTGCTGCGAGAGGAATGTTCAAGGAGGTGAGGAGACCCCCTGGCAAGAGCACGGCATTGACTGAAGATGAGCAGCACATACGCCGCACTGGCAGCCTGGCAGACATGCATGGGTGCACAGGGCATGACTAGTCCGTGTGTAACGAGTCGACTCAAAAGTCGACTCATTACACACGGATTATACACATACGCCGCACTGGCAGCCTGGCAGACATGCATGGGCCCACAGGGCATGACTAGGCGTGCAACGCAACCCTTTTGCTCACCGTGCTGCGAGAGGTGGGAGGTGAGGAGCCCCCCTGGCGAGAGCACGGCATTGAAGAAGAGCAGCATGTAAGCACAGCCCTTGTACTCACCGTGTTGAGACAGAAACGAAGTTAGAAGTCCCCCGGGCGAGAGCACGGCATTAAAGAAGAGCAGCACGTACGCCGCACTGGCAGGCACCACCGGCTGCTGCACATAGCTGCTCCACCTCTTCCCTGCCGCCCCCACCACTTTTCCCACTCCACCCACCACTTCTTTTATCCCCCCTGCCGCCCCTGCCACCTGCTTAAGCCCGGCTGATGTTCTCCCCACTGCGATTGCTGCAGCTGCTCTGGCGGAATTCACTGTTGCAGCAAGCACTGCAATCAGCGATCTTGGGAAAGGTAATGCGCCGCACTTTAATTCTGCAGCAGCAGCAGCAGAAGCAGCAGTGGGAGAAGCAGTAGTTGTGGCCGCAGCAGCAGTGCCACCACAATCGCGACTGGCGCCGCAAGCACGTGGCAGCGGCGCGTGCTGCCTGTGATCAACCCACTGCATCCTTGCCGCTGCATGCAGCACGGGGTGCAACGAGGACAAGGAGGAGCGGTACGTGCCGAGTGGGAGGAGGGGCGCAGCGGCATGAGTGCTGCTGAACGGAAAGGCGACGAGGGGGAGGAGGGGCGAGTGCGGGGGACTGAAGGAATGATGTGTGTACACACTTGATGACGAGGACGGCTCTTGATGCTTCCTCCCTACCGACGACTCCTGCGGCCACTTTGGGAAATCCTCGATATGACAACTCGAAGACTGGTTTGTCTTTTGAGTCGACTCAAAAGTCACCTCGTAACTCAGAGACTTGTGTGCCGAATCTGGTGCTCCTGGTGCCAGTGTGGGTTGATCTTCGCTCTGGCAAGAAAGCTCTTGTTGTGGGCCATCCTCCAAAGGCCGAGGTCTGCTAAGCACTCCTTGGGAGAGACGGTTGGTGAGAGTGGTGAGGGCGAGCTGAGGGGGTGAGGGGGGGGCAGGGGGGGGGGTTGGGAGGGTGGAGGGGAGAGAGAAAGGGGGAACCTTGTGTCAACCCAACGCATTCCTTCATAGGCCGAGGTCTGCTGAGAGCACCTTGGGAGAGACAGTAGGTGAGAGGTCTCCTGAAAGGGTGTTTTTGAAATTTCTCAAAAACACCTTGGGATAGACGGTTGGTGGTGGTGGTGGGGGGGGGGGGGGTGGTGAGGACGAGTTGAAAAGGTGAATCGAGGGAGAAAAAGAAAGAGAGAAGGGGGAGCGGGAGAGGGTAGGGGGTCGGAGCAATGGTGCGGGAAAACACAGAAAGGAGGCCATTGGGGGGATTAGAGAGGGAAGGAAATGAGAGAGCAAGGGAGACTGACGAGGGGACGGCTATATGCAGGATGAGGTAGAAGAGGCAGGAAATTTGCCAGCGGAGGTAGAGAGAGAGGTGAATTTTGAGTCGGCTCAAAAGCAGGAGAGGGTACAAGACCCGAGAAACGTACCAGGGCAGGCAGGCAGAGAGGTGACTCGAGTCCCCAGAAACGTACCAAGAGAGCAGGAGAGGGTAAAAAGCCCGAGAAACGTACCAAGAGAGCAGGAGAGGGTACAAGACCCGATAAACTTACCAGGGCAGGGAGGGAGAGAGCGATGAGGGCGAGGCATGCCTTGGCACAGACAAGCGGGCTGAAAGCAACGATGAGCCAGCCGAAGATGAGTGGTGCTGCTACCTGAAGGGAGTGGGGGGGAGGGAGGGAGCGAAGAGAGACGAGGGGGAGGAGAGGGAGCATAGGTGAGGGGAGGATGGAGAACGAGGGAGACAAGTGGGCTGAATGCAACAATGAGCCAGAAGAAGATGAGAGGTGCTGCTACCTGAACGAGGGGGGGAGAAGGCAGAAGAAACGAGAGGTGGGACAGAGGAGGAGAGAGAGAAGTGCGAGGGGAGTGAGGGAAAGAAAAGCAGCGATGAGCCAGCCAAAGATGAGAGGTGCTGTTATCTGAAACGGGGAGACAGAATGGGGATGCAAGGAGAACGAGGGAGTGCAGGGGGGGGAATGCGGCAAGTGGAATAGTGAAGGATGGAGGAAAATGGAAACAGAGGACAGAAGGGACAGTAGGACAGAGGACGGAGGGAGAGAGAGTTAAGATAGTGGCCATTCGTACCTCAAGACATGCGACTAGAAGGGAGGGTACGACCTTGCACGTCGAAGCAGCACATGCAAAAACATTACAGCACTCACCTCACAACACAGATCCACCCTTCTTAGCATGGCGTTGGCATTCGCCAGAGCAACAGGTCGATCCTGACCGGCCAGCTGAGGATGAAGGGAGCAGGAGAGGGGGAAGGAGAGGGGAAGAAACAGACGACTTTATGTTGAATCAAGAGCCACAGAACGATCCTGACCGACCGGCCAACTGAGGATGAAGGAAGAAGGAGAGGGGAGAGGGGGTGAACAAACGGATGACTGTGTGTTGAATCGAGAGCGGCAGCGCAGCACTATGAAAGGAAGCAACCATGCATAAAGCATGCATCACACACCACAGCACTTTCAGGGTGTTTTTGAGAATTCTCAAAAACACCCTGCAAATCCAACCATGCATAAAGCATGCATCACACACCACAGCTCTTTCAGGCTCATACACGCTCTCTCTCAAACTCACCGCCATTGACTTTGACAAGCAACTGACTCCCTTTCACAAGCAACTCCCGATAGACATGGGCAGCATGCCGAGCCTGGCTCGACTCGGCTCGACTCGACCACGAGTCAAGTAAAAGTCGAGCCGAGCCGGCTCGACTCGACCCGAGCCGGCTGCCCGAAAAGGGCTGGCTCGACTCCGGGTTTGAGGGTCAAGCCGATGGCCGGCTCGACTTTGGCTCGGCCGGCTCGACTAGAGTAGAAAGTGGGTGTTTGGCGGACCTAGAAAATCTAGGTCCTAAACAGAAATCGCCATTGCTGGTGTACCCTAAAAACGTAATTTCCTGAACCCTAATAACCTGAAACACTTTAGTTAATGTCTGACTGAACTTACGGAGTGAGATTAATGGGGCTTAGGCATGCTAGGCTGGCGTGGTGGGCGAGCCGTGCGACTCGACAGTTGAGCCGAAATCGAGCCGGCTCGACTTCGATCGCCCAAAAATTTCCCTCGAGCCGAGCCGAGCCGCGCGGCTCGACCAGCTGGACTCGGGGCGAGCCGGCCGAAAAAGAACCCCGGCTCGGCTCGCCTAAAAGGCGAGTTGAGCCGGGTCGAGCCGAGCATGGCTCGGCATGCTGCCCATGTCGAACTCCCGATGCCAGCCCAGTCAACCGCTCCACAGCACCCGCCACCACGAGCACTATGAACCACCCGTGCTGGGCGGGCAGCTGTGTGTGGTGAAGCAAGCATGCACCAGTCAACTCACCACAATCACCCAATCTCTCTCGAAAGCAACTCCTGATGCCAATCCAGTGAGCCTCTCCACAGCACCCGCCACCACGAGCACTATGAACCACCCATGCCGTAGCAAAGCTGTGCCCGGGAGCGCAGATAGCGCTGACGTGGCAGCCGACGTGGCGGCTGACGTGGCAGCTGCGCCTGCTGCTGCTGCTGCTGCAGCAGGGGACGCTAGTTGAATGGCGTGTATGGTGGCGAGGGCTGCAACTACCATGGCACAGGTCTATATGGGGGATAGGGGGGTGATAGGCAGGAGGGACGCGATAAGAGAGGGGAGATGAGCGGAATGGCGTGTGTGGTGGCGAGGGCTGCCAACTACCATCGAACAGGTCTATATGGGGGATAGGATAGGCGGGTGTTGAGCAGCAGGGACGCGATAAGCGAGGAGAGAGGGAGAGGAGGTGAGTGGAAGGGCGTGCGTGGTGGCAACTGCTGCCACTACCATTGCAGCTTGCAACGGACTGTGTTGTTGATAAAAGGAGGAGGTCGGCGGGGGGTTGGGGGGTTGGGGGGGGGGAGGAATGAGAGAGGGAAAAGGAGGGAACGTCGTATATCGTGGTGAGTGCTGCTAATATGTTGCTGCTGCGATCCTCCTGACGTGCCAAGTTGCCAACAGAAAATTCACCTGGAAACTCACCTGAGCAACAGAGATGGTGCTGAATGCAGCCACCCTGGGAGCGGAGTCCATAAGCTCGCCCACGAGAGGCGCTCCTATAAATACCACCAGCTGCACATTGGGGGAGGGGGGGGGAGGGGGGTGGGGGAGAATGGGAAAGGGGAGGTTTGCAGGAAGTGGGGAAGGGGAGGAACGATTCAAGTTGGGAATCCATAAGTTCGCTTCGCCCACGAGACGCGCTCCTATAAATACCACCAGTTGCACATTGGGGGAGGGAGGGGGGAAGGGGAGGGGTGGGGGGGGAGAGGGAGAGTTGTTAGGGAGGAAGGGAGAGGGGAAATGGTTCGTACTGAGTTGAGGTGAGGCTCCTCCATGCTCGTCCACTAGAGGCGGCTCTGTGAACACCACCAACTGCAGCCTGCAGGTGGGGGGAACAAGGGCGGATGGAAGGGGGTGTGTGTGTGCGTGTATGAGTGTGCGTTTGTGCGCCTGGCCGCCGTGCATACATGCATGCATGCAGGAGGGGGAGGAGAGAAGGAGAGTGCTATGGGACGCGGCTCAAACCTTGCCCACTAGGAAGCCTCCTATGAATACCACCAGCTGCAGGAGGGAGGGACAAGGGCGGAGGGAAGGGGGCGTGTGAGTGTGTGCATGAGTGTGCGCTTGTGCGCCTGGCCGCCGTGCATGCATGCATGTATGGGTGGCACGCGTGAGTGCAAACAAGGGCTCACCTGGCTAACGAAGCTTGCAACAGCCACGGGCAGTAACGAGTGATGCAATAACGCGAGCAGGGCCGCTCCTGCAAACCGCCATGAGTGCTCGCCAAAGCAGTTGAACATGTATGTCCAGTAGAACGCTGGGAAGGGCGGGAAAGAGGAAAGGGGATGCAAGCAATTACAGACACCTGTGAATGTCCAGAAGGAGGCTGCTGCAGAGAGGACAAGCGGCTGATGAATCGACGTAAACAAATTAGCAGAAGTGGTTAAAAGAAGAAGAAGAAGAAAAAAAACAGCATGCAAACCATGCGGACATGGCTAGCACACCTATCAAAGCAGCGGGATGGGCAGGTTGGGCAGACAACACAGATGAGGAATCTTCAGATGATGCCTCTTCAGATGATGCCTCTTCAGATGATGCCTCTTCAGAGATTGACTTTTCTGCTTCCTCCGCCCCTTCGAGCTGCTCCTCCCCCTCCTCTGCTGCCTTGTGTCCAAGCTGGTCGGACCCCGTTGCTTCCCCAACTTTCTCCTGCTGCCGCTGATGCTTCTGCTTCGGCTGCTGTCTTTCAACTTTTGACAGCACAAGCGGTTCCAGTATACTCATGTAGCCATTGATGTCACTGCTGCTGCTGCTGCTGCTACTGCTGCTGTCCATCTCAGTGTCGCTACCACCGCAAGACGAGTCATCCACTAGCGGGGATTCCCTCAGCAGCGGAAGGGCATCCGGTACAACCAACTCCTCCTCCCCAGAACCGTAGCTCATGAACCCCCTCTCCCACTCCCCTAGTCTCAGCGTGCCACGCTCACTGTTGCCTACAAATACCGATTCAATGTGGGAATCGCGCCTTTCGAACCAATCCACCCAATCTTGTAGCGAACCCATTGGTTCGTCTCTTAACGAGGATGACCACCCATCCAGATCGTTTCGACCCTCCGAGACATCTGAAGGCCCAAAAGCCCCCAGGTTCGGTAATCCCAAGGGGTTGAAAGAATAGTCCTCATTGGGAATGGCGGTCTGCCCATTAGATTCTGTGACAGACTCCACGTCAGCTTGCGCCAGGACTCTCTCTAGCTGCGCCACGTCATCAGCTTCCGGCACGAAATCCGCGTTTGGATCCAAGGCCCCGCTAATGTCACAACCCGGCACGAAACCCGCTGCTGCTCCCGCATTCGTTACAACCTCGCCACACAAACCCGCCACCATATCATGACCGTTAAAGCTGCCGGAACAAACACTGCTACTGCTACTGCTGCTGCCGCCAGTTACACAACTGCTGCTGCTGCTGCTGCGGTCGCTGCTGTGATGGCATGGCTGTTCTACCCGTGCGTCCACCGCTTCTTGCACCGTCACTCGGTTCCTCTGCGCGCGCCGCTGCCCCCTGAACGCCCGGCGCGGCGTCCTGCCAGGCGAGGAAACGTGAGCAAAGGAGCATGGATGCTGGCGGTCTTACTGTTTGCCATTTTGCAAGTTCTACAGGAGAGAAAGACTAGAAATCCATGTACAAGTCACTTACATAGACGACACCTGTCGAGTTGCGAAGAGGACTTGTGTGATTTGGGAATGTCACTTACACTCAAGAATTACCTTCATTTCCGACTCGCTTACATGTGTGCCGTCGAGTTCCGGTGCTGGCTGATCTTCGCTCGCGGTCGGGTGCCGAACGCGGATCGCCGGAACGATCGCCCGTGCGACGTCAGTGCGACCGGGCCAAGGGCTCCTATGCGAGTCGCCGATGAGCACTGGAACGAACGCGGCGACGGTTGCGAAACCTCACATGTTGGTAACGTGCGAAGCGAACGAAAGCTTGCGACGCGCGAGGGAAGACACGGCGACGAGAGAGGACACGAGAGACCAGTACATCCCGAGAAGAACCGCCCGGATGAGTCGCATACGAAACCCGGCGACGCTCCATCGGCCTTTGCAACCTGGTGCGAAACCCTCGAAATCCGAGCGACGCTAGGAAAGCTTGAGCTACGAGCAGCCGACCCCAAGAGCTCCCCCCTGCGGGTTTCACGGGGGAAAACACCCGAACGTAGACCGGAACCACGCAGACGTAACCCCTGCTGGGAACTACAACGACTCTTGACGCTTCGCGTCAATGAGCGTCTCGCCAAAGAAGGCGATAGAGATTTCTCTAGAGGCCTGGTGCTGATTAGAGGGCTCCCCGAGTAGAAGCTGCTGCGGGGAGCAGACAGCTCGATTTGATAAGATTTCCCCACAACTAGGCCGCTGGTTGAAGAAGGGACAGAAGCGATGATGCGTTGGGCGCTGAGAAGCGCCATGGGAGAAACTGAGACGCGGGGAAGCCAGCAGGGGAGCCAGGAGGGGTGCCAGAAGGGATGCCAGGAAGGGTCTTGAAGAGGCCCTCATATACGAATTCAAGACCGGAGTTATTGGTAAGAAGCAATCTGAATGGTAAGGAGGAACCTGATTCGTAAGGAGCAAGCTGATTGGTATGGAGCAGGCCTGTATTGGTGTGGAGCAGCTGTGCTGCGGAGAGGACTGCGCGAGTTACGAGAGTGTCAGGAGCACACTAAAACGCAAGGCTTTTCGTCACGAGCACACTAGGAAGAAACCTTCTCGTAAGGGTTTTTTTAACGCTCTCGACGGAAAGCTGTTGCAATGGCTCTTGTGCGGAGCGGAGACCGCACGGAGCAAGTCGCGCAGACAGGACGGAATACAGGTCTGGTCGAAAACCAAGAAGCAGCTCGACCTAATTCAGAACGATTCACAGCCAATCAGCAGCAGTGAACAGCAAGCCTCTAAAAGAATGAGCAAGGGCTACAGTGCAAGGGAGCAGGAGGGGAGGGGAGGGGGATGGAGCGGGTGAAGGGGTTGGGGAGAGAAAAAGGAGGCGGGGGAAGATGCTGGCAGGTGGGTGCGGAGGGCGGGGGGAGGTTGCGGGGGAGGCGGGGAGGAGTGAGGAGGGTTGGGGTGTGCTAGCAAGTTGGGGTGGGGGAAAAAGGCTGGATTGCGCTAGTCAGGGAGGGGGAGGTTGGGTCAGGGAGGGGAGGGAAAGGAAACAGCAAATGCTGTTTCGAGAACCAATCCAAGGGCCAAGATTAGCATGGTTGTACAGCTCTTTGCCATGTCATATGGTTGAGGGATCTCGATTTGAGCTTGGGCGACTGGAATTCACGCCCGCTTTGCCCAAAAGGCAGGAGAGGTGGATTTTGGGCTTGAAGTTGGGGCTGCGACGAGTCGGCGGCGACCGATGATGTGACCTACGATCTAAATGACGACAACTGACAAAGGTTTGGCGCCATCGCAGAGAAGGGCTAGCGGGGGCCATTCGTCGCGGGCGCCGATGTGGCGTCGCTGTTACCTTTTGCTTTCTCGCGTCCTCTCATCAGGGACACCAAGCTTCGTGGGCAAATCTCGGCAATATGACGGCGGGCTTCTGGGACGTAAGCGATTGGCCACCGCAATCGCAAAGCAAACTCGAGGTTCGGTGAGTGTTCTGAAGCGGGGCAAGCTGCACGTGTGGCCTGCGACTGAATTCTTGTAGTTCCTCCCCAACAAAGCAGCCATTGGCTGACGTCATGATTTCGAGCCCACTAGGCTCGGTCCGAAGCTGACGTCCAAGTAATGTGGGGGTGGTCTTTCCCCAGTTTGGGATCGGGTCTGCGTGGCTACGCAAGTGGCCACGTCACTCTCCCGACTTTCAAGGCCACAGTTCTGAACACAAACCTGATACTCCGGTAAGAAATAGACGTGTTCAAGCACGCGACTACATGCCTCGTTGATTTCTATGTCATTCTATTTACAGCCCCTGCTATTTTTAAGTTCATGTGACGTGTCCAAGGTTCTATTTCCAAGGTTCTGGTACATGCTCATAGAGGCTTTGGAGCATTACTGTGCTGATTACATCGCTTTCACTACATCAGCACATCTACCAAGGAGACGGTAGAATTACGATACAAACCTACTTGCCACTTCTGTTAGGGGAGGCGGCTAGCACTTGAGTTCCTGCTAGCACGGCTAGCACGACTTGCACGGCTCGCCCTGCTGCTGGCACTGTGTGCACTGAGCTCACTGTGGATGAAGCCACTGCCATGGAGGCCAGAACCACCACCAAACCCTTCCCCCCTACCTTCAACAACCTCCCCACCTCCACCCCCACCCTCACCCTCACCCTCTCCCTCTCTCTCTCCCCCTCCACCGCCACCACCACCACCATTACAACCGTCACCACCTCCAATGTGGGGGAAGGATGGCAGATGAGACCAGTTGCCCGAGAGAGGGTGGTGGAAGCATGGTGCCCCAGGTGATGGGGGTGGTGGGGGGGTTCCAGGTACTGCTGTGATGAATGGTACTATTGGTTGAGGGGGAGGGGGAGGGGGGCTTGGTCCCCCTCCAGGGTGAAGCAACGAAGCCAGGTGAGACCAAATGGCAGAAAGAAAGTCGCCACCACCACCAAAACCATCGCCGCCGCCAACACCGCTGCCGCTGCCAGCGGTCTGCAGAGATCGAGGAACTTCTGGCAAGGGCTCTGCCACAGTGCCGTCGCTCAGCCTGCGATGCTTGAACGCGAGAGGCGGATTACCCACGGCCTGTCTTGCAGCTCCAGATGCTGTGGTTTCGTCTGGGGTCCCATGGAATTCCAGTAGCTTGTCACGGGATGCCGAAGCCAGGAGCGTTCCTGCACAGCATTCCGAGGAAGGTGTAAGTCAAGAGAGTAAGAAACGAAACAAGAGCAGAGAAAGAAGGCCGGAATCAGCACAGGAATCCTTTTTGTCAGGACACATTGATGGTTATTATATGTCGCATCTACACCAGAAAAAGAAGGTAGAATATTGACCAATAGCCTGCCAGTCTGGAAGGGAACGAGTTGGAAAACGCGTTACCTGAAAGAATCAGAACAGAGAAGGCTGGGAACAGGCAAAGGAGCGATGCCATCTTAGCCATATTAGCTCCGTAATACAGGCACTCCTTGACACAGGTTCTCTGATGACTGGAAAATGCGACCTGCAAACCTCAAGGCCCGAGTCTCTATTTGTCCTTGTGACAACACACCGAGTGAGCAGGAGCCAAGACTACGGTGGGGACCGCATCGGGGAGACGGATTCCGCATGGCCGCTGTCACGTCTACTCGTGCGGGTACTCTTGTGCGGGTTCTCGTTCAAAATGTGCTCAAAGAACCAGTCCCAATGTGACAGATGCGTCACGTCTTTCCGGTCGAGATTTCGTTTCCGTCGACTCAAGAATCTCGTCAAGCCCGCAGACAGAGGTGCAGCAGGTCGCATCACTTCGTCGCACAGCAACGCGGACTCGCGAATCTCGCTCGAGCAGGCAGGCGTGAACCGCGGCCATCACTCGTTTCATAAAGGCGAGAAGCTGTTCGCATCATGCCGAACGCTGCTCCTCTTTCAGGTCTCAATCAGCGGAACCGGACAGAATAGTTGCGTCTCCCCATTCGCGAATTCGCTCTGCTACTCGCGAGCAGCTGTTTTCACCACGCGGGACGCTACAGCCATGAAAGATTCAGTTATTCTTATCTGAAGCTCTTCCGCACTAGTCGCAATCTCGCTGTACTCGCGAGCAGCTTTCACATCACGCCGAAAGCTGCTCCTCTTTCAATGATACCGGGAGTCACGCGGGTTCAGCTAACATCCACGGATCTCCGTCATGAACGATGCGATCAAAGCAGATCACTGGTCACACTAGAGAACAAATAAAGACGGGACATGACAGGACGACAGCACTAAATGTGTGACCTCATAGGCTGAGTTCTGCAGGCATTTGACGTTGACGTCGACGTCGACATTGAGGAAGCCAGAGAGCGACTTTGAGAGCACTGGTTACCACCCAAACCAGGTGCACTTTCCCAACCTCGCTTGGAAGCCACGCGGCCAAATTGTGGAAAGCGCAAGCGAAAGGAGAGATGGGAGATTTTCAAAATTGCGAAACAAAAAATTGCTGCCCTAGGGCAGCAGAGATATACACCTAACCCGCGGTATTTTTACACCCTGAAAATGGATAGCAAACGTTTGGCGTATCCTGACGGTGTGAAGTTACTGGGGCGCGAAACGCCCCAGTATCTTCACAGGGGTAATCCACCTAACCAAAAAGGTGCCACGCTGTCGCAACCGAGGCTCCCCTGGTCGAAATGTCGTGCTGGATTGGAATTTCAAAGCACCGCCCAAATCTCGTGCGTTCATTGGGTGTATTTTTATCGAGCCACTTAGAAGGCATGCTGCTGATTTCATTTGAATTGGTCAAATCCGATGTGGCAGCTCTACAGTACTGTCGGTGCTTCTAGAAGCGAGTTTCGTTTCTGCTCCCCCCTAATGACGCGCTCCTGTGCGCAGAGCCACAAAAATCGATAGGTCGTCACCAATTCCGAGCCTATTCAGGTGGCACTTTCTCTCGCGGGCCTGGGGCCGCCCATTTCAGTGCGCCCCGAAATGTTGAAGCTTGACCGCCCCACTACGCGACATAGGGTGTGAAAATACTAGGTGTGAAAATACCGCGGGTTAGGTGTATTACGTGGCAAGAGTACGAGACGGAGTAAGTAGAAAGAGTGGTGCAGTCGAAAGACTGTGGTCCCATAAACGACTCTCTTTGGCGATGGGTTTGTGCAGCTGCTGTTTTTTTTTTAAGGGCAGGCCCAAGTTCGCGATGTGGGGTAAAGTGGTGGCCGTTGTATTTTTGGGATGTGGAGGCCTAGTACACCCTTGCGGCTGATGTAACGCCGGACGCAAGGCGAACGCCGCGATTGCGCGAACGTCAGCGTTGCGTCACGTTTGCGTCAGATTTGCCAGGGAGGGAAGCGAGGGGGGTGTTTCCCTGACGTGGATGTAATCTGTACATGGAGCTGTTCTTCAGGCATGTCGATGTAGCCAGGTTCGGGGACGTTGTGCCAGGTTTGGGTGAAAATTTGCGGGCTGACCCTTGATCCGAAGCAAAATCTCTCGCTTTCGGAAGGTGCTCTGATGTAAACTGCACTTTCCTTTTCTGCCTGCAGAATGCAGCCACACTGTGGTGGAGAACAAGCGCCAGTTCTGTATGAGTCACACGAGCTCATTTTGTTGCAGTGAAAATAGGTGCTCTGCGTTCCAGGGAAGTTCGTTTTCCCAGTGTGTCTAATATTACGAAATTACTCCGCGAGATTGGCATGGGTGTGAAATTCCCCCTAAATATAAGAGACCACATAACTAAGCAGGCTCGCTAAGCAGATTATTAAATCGTTGTAACAAAACAGAGGGCGATCTCGATGTTCGCCAATTCGCAGACCCAGCTCCCACCCGCATTATTGCTGGTGATAATTTCGCGCCTCGAGACTTCCTGGTCGGCTCACACGGTTCCACTCCACGCATGATTTGCTCAGGTCTCGGATCTACTCTCTTCACATCTCCATTGTTCAGTGCCTCAAGTAAAGGCCTGTGTCTTACAGTTCGGAACTCGGCAAGTTCCGAAACTTGGGCTGGTTACACAATTCGCAACACATTTTGACAGGTCTTCGTGAGCTCCTCCCCAGGCAAAATCTTCGCCAGTTCTGGAACTAGTTCCGAAACTTCCAGAAGCGGAACCGTAAGACCACACGCCAACCAGAAATGCTCGTGCACCGAAACCCTTAAAGCGAGGGTCTCAAAAAGCAGAAAACCAAATCCAAAGGTTTTGGTTTCGGGGGGTCTCGAAAATTGCGAGGTGTGGTGAGGGGTGCTGGTTGGGCGCTGTTACTGTTTCGCCAATTTTGTCAACCCAAAACCAAACCTTTTGGATTTGGTTTCGCGCTTCTTGAGACCCTCGCTTTAACTGGTGTTATGAATGGAATTGCCGAGAAGCGTGGAGGGCAATGGCGAAACTGTGAACGAATGAATGACAATAAAATGAAAGAATACAATATATAGGAAACCTAGGGCGATCCTGGACGTAGGATCGGAAGGCAAGAGAAAAGTATCGAAGGGCCTCAATGTGTCCAAACGAGGTCCGGAAAGGCCCAGGAGGCTCGAGCTGAAAGGTCTGGAACCCTATCGCTGGTTCGGGACTGTTCGAGTCGTACGCCTTGTAGCAAGCCTCAGAAAGGAATGACCAATTCCTTACAACAGGGAAGCGGAAGGAACCGCTGCTGCTACTGCGTTACGCAGATTCTTACTCATCGTAGGAGCGACTTGGCATTATTGCAGAGCAAAACCGCTCTTTTCCTCACGCCGCCACACCACCCTTACCCGCTTATCACGGCGGTTTTTTCCTAGAGCTGAACTTCATATTCGACCATAATAAAAGCCAGCTCGCAACCGCTCTATCGTATCCCATCATTCATTTACGGTGACTCGAGCCTCAACCCTCCCACTTCTTCCCAGCCGCTAGGCATTCAGCACCTAGAAAGGCTTTTATACCTTAGAGATATTTCCAAATTAAAGTTGGAATTTTCAGTCAGAATGGCTCGCTTCTCACTGTTAGTGACTCTCACGACGGTGCTCGTCGCATTCGCCGTCGCACTCTCGTATCCCTTGCTTGCAGAAAGCCGGCTGGCAATTCTGTTGGAAGGTATGTTGAACATCAAGTTGAAGTTGATGCCCGACGATTCCTGTCTATTCTCTTATTTAGTCCCTACAGTCAACTTATATATATTATTTATATATAGTTGTGTAGGCTTGGTAGATTAGGTGTGCTACAAAATTGGATCCTACTGTAGAGGGTACAACACCCTTCTTGTATCCCTCTCTCTTCTAGTCCAACTCTCTTTTCTCTCGTCACTTTTCTCCCTAGCTAAAACCTCTCGCCATTTCTCATGCCTAGCTAGCTTCTAGGCTTAAATCCTTTCAACACCTACATCTCAAATTTTGAAGTCACACAAAGTTGCATAAAAGTACCCTAGAAGCAACATTAAAGTTACATACTCCCATGAGCTTTTATGTTTTGGTTCAGAGAAACAAGTCGAAGGTTGCGGCAATGTTGCTTTCGACCCTCCAAAGACCTCTATTGGGTAGTCTGTTCAAACCTCCACGGGAGATTATCAGAAACACGACAGTGTGTAAGTCGGAACTACACGGCGATTGCCTTACAGCACGCTGTGGATGTGTATGTGGCTATGGCGCTTCTCAGTTCCAACGTAAATATTGGGGTCATCTGCTCCACCGGGTGTTCCCGCTGAGCTTCCCCGCCGCGTGGACCGTGCCGCGATCGGATAGGGTAGTTGTGTATTGCTACTATCGTGAGAACCCACTTGCGGAAATATTGTGAATAAGTAATTTCTAGGGTCGATGGTATACCACTCGCGTGCTTCGCTACAAGGTTGTTCGGTACGGTTGGGAATTGGGATGTAAGTGAATCAGAGCGGAGAATTGATTTAATATTATACCAGTGCACCAAACATAAATAAAAACAACTACAATCTCATCTACAAACGGGGTGTTCCGTTATGTCGTCACAGAGACTCTTTGTCTGACTCCTCCTCAGCGGCTCCCCTGCCAGCAGCAGCGTCAGTGCGTGGGTGGGCGGGATGCAGCCCTTCCAATCCGCAAGCAGACAGGCGGACTCCGTTGCAACCCCACTCCCATGTTTTTGTGACATGGTTGAACGGCGGCTTGTGGATCTCTATCTCGTCCGCCACCACAGCGTACGCCAGAGCGTGGATCGTCCGCACGGATGACACGTTTTCTCCCGCGAAGTTCGAAAGCTTGCCCCTCCGGCGCTTCCAGTGGAGCATCGCTTCCAGGCCCGCTGCCGCATTTTCGTCTTCGCCTCCATCAGCGTGCGCAGGTTCGTCATTTCTAGCGACGTCAACAGAAGCCGCTGTCAGATCGGCGGAAGAGTTCCCATTCGGCGTCGGCTTGCATGCACAAGCTAGGGCCAGCGTGTTGGAAATTCAAATAAAATATAAACAAGATACGACACTGTGACGATGAACACATCACGTACCCCTTAGTGCCACCCTCTCCTGCACGTCGCCAAAACGACCCTTCTTGCGGCTAGCTTGCGACAATGCTGACCATTTTCAGTGCTTTGCCTCGACATTTACACCGGCGTAATGCTGAAGATACTCTGGAACCTTGCGTTCGCGCTGGTGGGACCTCTCAGACTCCATCTTGTGACGTGCAGTTAGGCTCAAGTGCTCAGAGGCTGCAATTTGTGCAGTTGAGGATGGAAATGCGGCCCCCATCAAGATGCGTCTTTGCGAAGTGTAATGCTTACGGCGTCCGCGAAATAAAGAAAACGCCAAACCTCAACAATGCAATAACTACACCAGTCGAGCACGGTGGGCGTAAAAATAGAGTTTGTGCGCTAAAAATGATGTACATTCAACAGGTCTCAACATTCCATTATTCGGGATTCTTTGCACGTTTCAGATCGATAGACTAACAACATCACTAAAAAAACACAGAGCACGTGAACCTAACATTGCTACAAACAAAAACGCCGTTCTCGGTATGAAACTACGCATGGCGGCCTTCACATGCGGAACTAAGAGATTTGACACAAAATGGCATAGGAAGGATAGGAATGTTAAAATTATATATTGTGTTATATAATTGTTAGGCTTGGTAGGTTACTGAACTTTACTGTAGAGGGTACAACACCCCTTCTTGTATCCCTCTCTCTTCTATTCCCAACCCCTTTTCTCTCCTCAACTTTTCTCCTTCCTAAAACCTCACGCCATTGTCATGGCTCCTCCTAGCTCCTAGCTAAACCTTGTGCCATT